GGAGCAGGAAGACTGACGTTTCGGGCCTAGACCCTTCTTCAGAAAAACTTTTTCTTGAGAAGGGTCTAGGCCCGAAACGTCAGTCTTCCTGCTCCTCTGATGCTGCTTGGCCTGCTGTGTTCATCCAGCTCTGCACCTTGTTACCTCAGATTCTCCAGCATCTGCAGTTCCTGCTATCTCTGATCTGGAAGAGATGTTTGTTCTTGTGGGAGAATCTACAACTCGGGGTTACCACTTAAAAATAAGCGACTGCCAATTTAAAACAGCCACAGGAGAAATTTTCTCACAGAGGATTATGAATCTTTGGTTCACTCTTCCCCAAAAGCTGGTGAAGGCAGAGTCTTTGAACAATTTTAAAGCAGATTTATATAGATTCTTGATAAGTAAGGGGCTAACAGGTTACTGGGGTAGGCAGGAATGCGGAGAATTCGATCAGCATTTTCTTATTGAATGGCAGAGCTGGCGCGAAGGGCCAAAGTGTCTATTCCTGCTCCTAATTCCGATGCTAATTTGTCAGATATATGCAGATTGCAAGGCAAAAGCAATGGCCATGCTTTACAACATGAACATATACAACTTTAAATAAACTTTTAGGAGACTCTGCAATTAAACAGTGCCTGAGGGACTGAATTGAAATTGTGCTTAAAATACATAAACAATGAACAAAGGTTGCTCTATTTCCTTCTTTCTGATCTTGTTCTGTTCTTTGTGTTTTACCATTTCCACTTGTGCAGCAACCTCCTATCATTTTGAAGTGGCAGTTCTTGACATGTAAACATAAATTACTTGTTGGTAGGGTATTTGAACAGAGAAAGAAAAAAATTCTACACCTGCAAACACTACAAATGTTGCCAGAATTGGATAGCACAAGGAGCAGGGATGCTGAGCAATTTTACTTTCAATCTCTTCCTAATCCATAAGCATTCAAAAGTACCAAAGATGCATTTTGCAGTATTGACAGAGCAATCACAACCTCAATCTTAGTACTAATTTACTGTCAATATATTGTCCAAACTTTCCAGAGCAAATTAAGTCATTGGCTTAGACTACCTGGGAAATGAAAGGGCTGATCTGGTTTTTAATTTGCATTAGTCTCCCAAGTCCCCTCTCAACGATAGTTGGAAAGTTCAGAAGTCGTAATGTGTGCCCTGTTGGTGCTGTGTCAAACACCACTACTGAGAAATTCATGCCTTTCACCAACCTGTAAAACACAAATTTTTTAACAAAAAAGTTACCTACAACAAATGGCTCCATGGAACCTTGTTCACCTGCAAACTACTGCCCAACAATTTTATATCCTTGAACAACTTAATTTGACAGAGGTTTGAGAATGTCACCAATGTTATAACTCTATCATAGCATGTTTTCCGATTGCATCAACATGTGAAGGCTCAATGTTGCAATGCTTAAGTTTGCATCGAGCATTTTCCATAATTACATATGGTCAGTGTAGATCAACATGTAAGTAAAACCACAATAAATCACCCTGTCACTGATATGCAAGAACGTTGAGAGTGCAATCTTCATTGGTGTATTACAACTACATTATGATTAAGCACCTTGTAAATTTTTCATCAAGGCTGTGTCCTGGGTGTAAGAAGATAAATAATGGGCTGGGGATTCAGTGGACAATAGGATTTATTATCTATGCAACTCTTTTACCTCGCAATCAGATCAGCAAGTAGTTCAGTATTAAAACTCCTATACTAAACAATTTATTTTCAAATAGAAAACCAGATTTGGGTTAATTTAGATCCCCTAAATAGAAAAATTATTAAAAAGGTAACATTTCCAAATCCAAAGTATAGATTTCACAACAGGTAAGAGTTTGAAACATTACATAAATGCATTGTGCAGAAACAGGTTATTCAGCCCACATGGCATTTACGTTCAACAAGTGTCCCCTCCCAACATTTATCTAACTCCTTCCGCATAACCCTTTTTCCCTGTCTCTCAAGCTTCTATTCCTAACAGCTTTCCCAAATTCACAACTACTCCATGAGGTAATGAGTCCAGTTTGTAATTACTCCCCAGGTAAAAATATTTCATCTTAGCTGTGTGCCCACAGTATTCTCATACAGTCCTCCCACCACTTCCACAATCCAACTTAAACAGTTCTAAGGTTTTTTTTTCTCCATTACTTGATTAGGAAATCCACTTTAATCATTAATCACTTTTGAAATCCTTACTGACAACAACTTCTGCCAATTTGCTCCCAGTACATATCACAGGGCAAAGTGCATGGGAACCTTTCAAATTCCCATGAAGATACTAGAACCCTACCTGACAAGGTTTCTCCTCTATAAATTATTGCAGTTCCTCAGGCTCAAAAGCACTCCCAAGGGACAAAAGACAAATGTAGCAGTTTCACCTCAGTTGTGCTTGAAAGCCTTCTCCATGCTGGGCCCGAACAAAGCTATGCAAAGGTAAGTCATGTATACAAATCAACTTCACCTTTCAAAAATAAAGAACACCAGATGTACCTCATATAGAATATTAAATGTTACAGATTTAAACAAAACCACAGAGCTGCAGATTAAATCAGACCACAGAATTAAACAGGTACAACAGAGGAGGCAGCAATTCAACCTATTATGTTTGTACTGGCTTTCTGAAGTGATGCACCCAGTGCTGTTCGCACCCATTCTGCCTTTTTGGATAATAATCAATTGCATCTTATAGCCTTGATTGAACATGCTTCTACTGTGCTCTCTGGTTGTGCATTAATCCTAACTACTCACCCCCAATCACTTTAAATTTGTGCCCACCTGTTCTCGTAACACTGCTGTGAGCAACCCAGAAGAAGCAACTTTATCGAAATTGTGCAATTTTGTTGCCATTGAAGACTTTGAATTATTAAACATAGAAATTAGGGAACATAATTGTTTGGCTGATAACCAAGAATCATCCAATCTGGTAATGAAGTTTCCGTTTGGCTTTCCAATTGGTGTGGCATATCACGGAGAACATCTTTTGATTGAAATAATGCTGTACAACTTTAAATACTTTTGGGTACAAGTACTTCCTGGAATTTAGGTTGAGGGGTGATGCGATGAAAGTACAAGATACAAAATCAAGTAGATAGCAGAAAGAACTCATCTGCCTTGGTTGGTGAGTACAGAATGGGGGTTGGGGATGCATGGTTTTAAGACTGGAGCCAGACATTTCAGGAATGAAATTAATATAAAATCACACATAACAATATGATACAGCACATTTCTGTAAACAGTAATTGATGCTAGATTGACTGCTTGCTTAAAAACAAGATTGATAGGCATTTTGCCAAAGTGATTAAGTTATTAAGGGATACGAGGCAAAGGTGCATAAATAACGCTAGGTCACCTACCAGTCACAATCTCATCAAATGGCAGATCAGGCTTGAGGGACTAAATGGCCTCCTCCTGTCGAAAGTATTAAGTTCCTAGGAGTGATGATAACTAACAATCTGTCCTGGTCCTGCCATGTAGATGCCACAGTCAAGAAAGCACAATAAGGCCTCTTCTTCCTCAGGAGGCTAAAAGAAATTCATCATGCCCACAAGGACCCTTGCCAATTTTTACAGATGCGCCACAGAAAACATTCTATCCAGGCACATCATGGCTTGGTACGGCAACTGCTCTGCCCAGGACTGTAAGAAACTACACAAAGTTGTGAACACAGCCCAGACAATCACACAAGCTAACCTCCCATCCATGGGCTCCACCTACACTTCACGTTGCCACAGAAAGGTAGCCAACATCATCAAACACACCTCCCACTTGGTCATATTCTCTTCCAACCCCTTCTGTCAGGCAGAAGAGACAGAAGCTTAAACACACATATCAACAGGTTCAAGAGCAGCTTCTTCCCCACGGTTATTGGACTGCTGAATGAACCTCTCTAATTTCAAATCTAATAATGATGCTGCTTTGTGCACTTCCTGTGCAACCATAACATTGTATGCCTCGCTCTAAACACCGTATGATCTGTATGTCCTTGTATGCAATGATCTGCCTGTACTGCATGCAGAACAAACTTTTTCACTGTACTTAGGTATATATGACAATAATAAATCAAATCTTCCACTCCCTCCCACATTACCTCATTACTTCAGCATAGCTCATAGCTTCATCAATGCCAGGGAATGCGCTCATTGCTTCCTGCATCATCTTCTTACCCATGCTCAGCATATTATCTTCCTCAAAAAATTCATCAGGTAATTCCGCCACTCCCAGGCTTGGGTCAATTTCCTGCATGAGGAAAGTAAGAAGGCACAACAAAGTTTCAGCACGTTTATTCTTAAAATCCATGCTCCTGCAGGATTTGAAACTTGCGAAACCTGGCTCTTGTTTACACAGCGGGTAACCCAAAAACGTTTTATTCCCAGAAGTCTAACCTCGTTTTCTCATTCTATTAGCATCCTACCCTAGTCCTAATAACTTCCTGTTATTGTTGCATGAAGCAGAGATAGTTTAAACACAAGGCAATGATTTGAACTTCTTCAGCACCTTTAAACATCAAGAAACACACCAAGGCACTTTATAAACTAAGGTAACAAAGTGGACTTTTACTTGAAAGAAAGATGATGGATGATGCCATTGCATCGATAATCCTGTAGTCGCTCACTAACAAGCACTGTGGATTTACCCACACATGAACTATAGCAGTTCAAGGCAGCAGCTCACCGCTACTTTCTGAAGAGTAATTAGAGGTGGGTCATAAATGCCGGTGCAGCCAGCTATACTGACATCCCCTTACGAACATATAAAAATATAAATTCTGTTCAGCGTCTTGATTGCAGTTTGCTGATCATCTCCAATATAGCGTACTTTGTCTAGCCACATGTCTAACTGGACCTTGAACACAATTTAATAAAGTAAAGCACTGCGGATGCTGGAGATCTGAAACAATCAAAAACAGAAATTGCTGGAGATACTCAGCACGTCTGACAGAATCTGTGGAGAGAAAACAGAGTTAACATTCGAGTCCTGCCAAAATTTGAAATATTAACTATGTTTTCTTGGAGAAGGCTACAACAACTGGAAGTGGCATATAAATAAGTTGAGCTGACTATTAGTGACACACAAATACATAGAAATAAGGTCATCACCTGTCAATAGGGAAGTTCTGAAGTCACAATTCAAAGCTTAAGGAGAAAATCAGATAAAAACGTCAACACTGAAAATGTGATTTCACCCTTTGTTATTTTAGAACGCCTCCCAACCTAAATCATGATGCTTACAAGGTTTGAAGGCTGCAATGTTAAGGGTTGCTTTGATTACCAGGCTCATCTCAGCACAGAAGCACACCACACAAAATGTACTAATCTAAACCTCTGTGTAACAGATTTAACTGTATCTCATTAGAAATCACTGCAGAACCTTTTACCCTTCCTAGCTGTTACATATGGGATCCCCAATTTCAGCAACATTTATATTATCAGTTATTGACTCACCTCACTTACTTCAATAAATTATTTGAGCCACAAACATAAACATTTAATTCACATGATTATGTTCTCCGCTGCTTATATTTTTACTTACCATAGCAAACAGATTATCATAGCCTTTCACTTTTGTTGGTACTTTTGAGAATTTCTGATCAAATGCATCAGAGATGTTATGAGCTGGATCGGTAGAAATGATCAGCACGCTCTCCCGAACCTCCGCCAACTGCACAGCCAAACTACAGCTGTTTGGAAAAAAATTTACAAATCAGATGCCACCTTCTAAAACATTACAAGTAATCAGGGGGGCAAAATTTGAGAGACACATTCCCACCTACTCCATCCTTCTGCACCTCTCCATGGCACATGTAGTTCACAATTTGAGACAGCGCCCCATACTCAGCAATGTGAAAAAACGGAACATGAGAGAAGAGTACAATTTGCAATTGCACTGGAATTTCAGAGATTTTTTTAACGCCACTGCTGATATCTCTCGATACTGTACTGTCATGATCTCTAATTATTCTCAGTATATTGGCCAACCCTCCAACAAATGACCACGGTGCCCTTTTGCTGTCAAATCACCATAGAAAAGATGAAACTGGCAGTATTCCTTAAATCTGGCAACCTCCTGCTGTAGTACAAACACTAAAATTTTTAAAAGTCTACTTTTTATACAACCCCATAAATTTCCTTGAGAAGTATACTATTAATAAAAGAAAGAGACATCAAGCAATTCTTCAAATCCAGATTTGGCAAACAAAGAACCCTTTGATAGCAAAACCTGACAAAGGATAAAAGTTTTGTTTCCAATAATATGCCCTATTGAATGGCATTAAATTTGGTCTCAACTTTCAGCAATTTGGAAGGCACATAGAATGTTAAATGCAAGGCAGTACAAGAAAAGAGGATATTAAAAACAGAAAATACCAAAGAAACTCAACAAGTGTGGCAGGATCCGTGGCGAGAGAAACCATTAACATTTCTAGCTCAATGTGACTCTTCTGCAGGACAATTAATTGGTCTTGAAACACGTACGCTATTTCCTCGCTCCACAGAAGTTACCAGACCTGAATTTCTCCAGCACTTTGTTTTTCGGAACTCCAGCATCCATTGAATTTTACTTTTACAAAAGTGTTTTGCTGCAATTTTCAAGGGATATGGACAGAGCAGACCAAGAGCACTTTATACAGTCTTGGTAACTGTACTTATTGAAGGGCCCGTTTGCTTTCAATGAAGTAAAGCTCAGTAAACTGATTCCTGAAATGTAGGTTGCCTCATGTGAAAGATTTGAGAAGAACAAGCCAATAATGCTTTGGTATTTAGTTGAGATAATCTCGTTAAAATACAAAAATTTATCACAGGACTCAACACATTGGATACTGAGGTTGTGCCTCATTAATAGCAAGTGACAGGGACCTGAATGTACTACCCTAATGTGGTGAAGGGAGGTTCAATCAAGATATACAAAAGGTTAATTGGATTATCGGAAAAAGGAAGAATGTGCAGGGCTAAAGGACAAAAGGTGGGGTGGAAGAGTGCGGCACTAGGTGAATTGGTCCTTCAGAGAACTAGTGTAACCACGATGGAGGAATGACTTCCTTCTTTGCTGTAAACATTCTGCAATCTATGGGTGGAAAGTCAAGAACTAGGTGTCATAACCTCCCCATACAGAGTCAATCATTTTGGATGGAGAAGTCTCATCACTTGAAGGAAAATTGATTTTTGTAATTCAACAAGTCAGAGTCTCCTTGACAATATTCAAGACTGAGATTGACAGATTGTCACATAGTTGAGTGAACATAAAAGATCAACCATATTTACTTTGAAAGGTTGAGAAAGCACAAACAGGTGTATGATCTAAACCCGCTCCCATTCTTCATTTTCAATTCAAGATCATAAAAGGCATGAGGATACTGCAAAGGAAAGTGGTACCGATGTAAAAGATCAACCATAATCTGGTTGAATGGTGGAGTTGGTATATATATCCACACACACACGTACACATGCAGTGTGGGAAAGCATACTGGTTTGTAATTTCCACTCAACATTGCATTCCTTTTGCTATCTCATTGACCAGTTGAATTTAGCTTACTTTTAATAACAAATATTTTATGTTTACCTTATTTTTAAACCCAATGGCCTACCCTATAAACGTTTGTTGAATGGAAGACCATTAAAAGAGAATTTGGAATTTTCTGGTTTAATTGGAAGCAGTTACTCTGTCAGTGGCGGGGGGGAACCCTCATAGGTCTCTCTAACCTCAAAGCAAAAAATAATGTTTGCAGGGCATTAAGCCCACGTGACCAAGGCTCCAATTTAACTGTACACACAATGTGCGTGTGCAAGTTTCCTTTGCTGAAAAGTCACTGGCCTCGAAACTTTAACTCTACTTTCTCTCCACAGATACTGCCAGACTTGTTGAGTTTCTTCAACAATTTCTATTTTTGTTTCAGACCTTCAGCATCCTCACATCTCTGCTTAGTACTTCCCTGGCTAATCCTCAAAGACTAACATAGTTTTCAACTTGTTTCCGAATCTATGGCTCTGCAAAATTTAACTCGGGCGCCGTGCCAACGAACACCTGCCGACTTCATATTTCACGTTAACGTAGCCATCGACTGCGCTCACCGCGCACCTCCTTGCGAACACTCCCCAGCTGAAAGACCAGAGGGAGGCTTTAGTGAATAACACACATAAACCGCTGGATTTCGGGCTCTTATGGCATTGTGGGAGTATCACTGAGTCAGGAGACCCGTGCTCAAGTCCCAACTACTCCAGAGGCAGCTCTGCATAGACTGATACAGAAAACATCTAAAATGCTGAAGTTAGTTGGTAAAGGTGCTCTCTCCTCGTTAATACCTGCACGTGGTTTTGCCCACGCCTCCTTTCCCACCCACAAAGATCCACTTGAGGGACTTCTGCTCGATGATATTGCACAGGGTGGGTTCCAGGGGCTCCACGTCTATAGCATCCTCGAACTCCTCGTCCATCGCCGCCGCCATCTCGAGTGGTACCACGTGACTGAGAATCGATTGAGGGAAAGACCCCCCCGACCCCGAACTTCTTAATTTATTTGTCGTTAATTTTTAAATAATTACACACTGATCTAATAGGGGGGCTATTTTAGTGTTATCAAAAGACAGGAAAGGACCAGAGGATTTTTTTTCACATTCGTGATATTCCGCGCCCCAAAACTCCACGTAACCCCCGTCCTACCACCCTCCATCTTCAACACTGATTGGTGCAGCGCCACTTCAGTAAAACGCGTCGCGATTGGCTCGGCTGTAATATTTGAATCAATATCTTCTTTTAAAACGGGCGCCTGTACGTTTCCTGATCATTAAGTTTAAAATGTCACGCTTCTTTATCGTTAACATCTATTTTTTTCCAGCGGGGGCGGGAAATATTCGGGACGGTTTGAAGTTCGGTCATGCGCAGTTGTCGGCCAGCGAAGATGTCAGGCGTCTCCCCAACTCCACTGCTATTGGAAAGATAATCGGTTGGCCCTGGCACTTGTCTTGTTGAGCTAGTGGTTTGTTTGTTTTTTTTGAGGTGCTGATTTGTTCAGGCAGTTGTCTTTCAGTTTCCCATCCCCTACCTCTGCCCCAGAAGCCTCAGCGGCCCCTCTTTCCCCCAAGATGGCGGAGAGGCGGAGGAGCCGCGAAGTTTCTGGAAGCTCCGAGCCGAGTGAAGCGGACGGTACCTCGGAGAGTAAAGGGGTGAACGCTTTCGCCAACGATGGCAGCTTCATGGCGCTCTTCAAGAAGAAGATGGAAGAGGAGAGGCTGAGGAGTGAAGGGGGAGCCGCGCCGAGCGGCGGGGATATAGACAATGGAGGCAAGAGGAGTGTGGCCGCTGGCCAGGAGCAAAGTGCTGAGGCCCAGAGCGACAGGAAGAAAAGCGTGCTGAATATTGTAAGAGCGAGAGATTTTGCTCTCAATTTGCCTCCTGGTTAATGAGCAGGGCGGGGGAGTTGGTGGAAGATGCCGTTAGTTCATTGCACCCCCCCCCCCCCCCATATCACCAAAAAAAGTTATCCACTGTCTTAACAGAAAATACAGATTGATTCCTTCATTCAACATTGTCAGAGGCAATATGTACAGTCTTTTACAAAATAATGCTACCTGATCGGTTGCCTGAGTTTACAGATTGATTTCTTCCTTCCTTCATTCAACAGTATTAAGAGCAATACCTACAGTCTTTTACAAAATAATGCTACTTGCTCTTTTGCCTAAGCTTACAGATTAATTATTTCCTTCATTCAACAACGTTAGAAGCAATATGTGTGGTTATTTTACAAAAGAAAAATCATAATGCCCCACCTCCCCACTCGCTTGAATTTACAGATTGGTTCCTTCCATAATTATGTTAAGTGCAATATGTACAGTTCTTTATTTTACAAAACAGTGCAACTTGTTCTCTTGCCTGAATATGTTGATTGACTCTTCTATCATTCAACAATGTTAGGGGCAATACATATTTTACACAAAAGTATGCTGCCTCTTCTGTTGCCTGAATTTACAGATCGATTCCTTCATTCACTGGCTATGAGAGTGATGTGGGATTTTTTTTTTTAAACAAAAAAAACAAAAATATAATCAGCTTTGTGATTGCTCCCTGAACACTTTAAATCCTGAGTGCTCAATTTTTGCTTTTTTAAAAAGAAATTCAGGTAAAAACTGTATATCTGAAATGAAAGCAGCAAATGCTGAAAATACAGGGCCCTGTCATCATCATAAAAAGGCAAAGGCTATTGATTTACACATGTGACTGCCATCAGAACTGAGGATTGATGGATTGGTGTCTTGTGCCACCTGTTATCTAGTGGGTAGTTCTTCCCCCTCTTGGGTCACGCATTCAAGACTTTGAGCTTCATTACAATTACTTAATATATTTCTAGACTGGTTCAATACTGTCTCATGAGATTAAATATTAAACCTGCTTAATGAATAAGCAGAGGCACTGTAAATTAAGGGCCCATTTTTGTGGGGGTGTAGGAAAAGTAGAATTTGGGATTTGCAGATTCAAATCTCTGAAAATGGCAGGACAAGTTGATGAAGACGTTTTAATGTGATCCTGGGCTTTCTACTTAGACACTGGAGTCATTGATTCAGTCTTGACTCCAATTCTGGGATTGTACACCACAGCAAAGTTACCAAAATCAAAGACGTTTTGAAACGTACACACGTTTTCTTTCTTTTGAGATATTGGCTGACCTGTGCATTTCTGGAATTGTTTTGTTAATTAATGTTTCATGTTTAAATTTGATCTTTGCTTACTCCAATTCAATCATAAGACTTTCGAAGTGATTTTCAAAATTTCACAATTGTTTTCTGTCTGGCGAAGATTTAGTCTGAAGCAGGAATCCTTTTTTTTTCCTTGCTAAGGATGCTAAATTTCTTAATCCACCATTTACATTTAAATTAACATCAGTAAATACAAAGTTAATGAGTTTGGACACTGTAAGAAATAAATGCTGGAGTCTGCTTTGTAATTCTACAAGATTACAACTGACCTTCTGCACTGCCCTAATAGTTTTTAATTCCTTTATTCAAAAGTCCACTTATCACAGATAAGTGAACTTGATGACTGAGCAACCACAGCCGTATGACAGAGAATTGTCCTCTTGGCCTAATGTCCTCAATATAAGCAATTATTTATATCAGTTTTAGTGAATCCCATGTTAAAACTCACAGTTGATTACTGGTCAACTTTCAAGGATATGGAAGCCAAGTTTGATCTACCCTCAACATTTCCTTACTTCTGAATTCTGAATAACGTAAAGGCAAACACTGTGTATTAGGCTTTCCATTTCCTCTGTTGTCCTAGTGCACCAGCTTTTAGTGATTTTTGTGTATGTGCATATATAAATGCCATTATCTCACTTTCTCTCACTATTTAGAAACACCGAGTGAGATTCCGTGCTACAGGTTGTTGTTCTAATGTTAAGAATGCAACTCCAGTGCTTTGTCAGATTGCCTTAAGTATTTGCTGAAAGGGGGCCTCTGACAATATCCCCATTACCCCACCATCCACAACTTGGTAAAGCTTCCTGATGATTTAAATAAAACATTTAAATTTTAATTGCTCGTACAGTAGCACATAACTGCTTTTCTCTTGAGAGCTGCTTCTATTACCTTTGGCATCATGATTAAATTGAGAATGTCACTCAAAATCCATGTGGAATGGTGTATCTTAGTAGCAATCTGAAAGTTCCTTTTTGTGATCTTTGAGAGACTTCTCAGTTTATTTTACTTAATCAGAAAAAGAAGTTGACCACTCTTCTGGTTTGAAAAGTGCATGTTTGATATCCTTGTTCACATAGTCCCATAGATTCAGGAGAAATATAAGTACTTGGACAAGACTTCCTAAAATTTATCTCTATACAATACTCTAGTGATGGGCTTATTGGGGTCTGGCCCATACTGATGGGGAAAACGTATCTTCTTCCCATTGCATATGTTAAGAATCATATGAGAAATGAATCATGCAGTCTCAATCCAGTTCCAGAAGATATTAGTTGGCAATCTGACTCTGGTGTAAGAAATGGAGAGATATCATATCAATCTTCTGATGTTTAACCTACAATTGATCCAGACTGAAAAATACTTCATTGGTCAAACATCTCTAACACTGGATCTGGGAGCATTTGATGCTGACACTAAATTCCTAAAATGTAAAGTATACCATTCTCCAGCACTGGTACTTCATGTAATGACTCAAAAGCTCTTGTAAAAATAATAAGGAATGTATGTTTCCCTAGTGTCTTCTAAATCCTTGTTAGCATGATACTGGGGAGAGTGGGAAGAGAAAAGTAACATCAGAATGTCAGTGCTATAATTAAGAGTGCATCTATTCTCTTGTTTTGGAGTATGTCCAATTTCAGTGCCCAACTGACGCAGCATAACCTCATTTCAGCTTGGGAGTCACAACCACTTTGAACAGAAGTGTAAGTGCAGCGCTCACTTTTATTTTCACAGAAGCACGTGCTGTATGATTTTATAAGCAGTGTCAGACCCTGGGAACTCGCGTGAGAATGAGCAACAGTATTGTGGTTGATTGAGGAGCAAATGAGAATGTAAAGTAGCTTCTGTAGCCGGTGACCTCATTCGTTGAAGGTTAAAAATGTCTCTGAAAATCTTGTACAGGAAGGCTGCTTGATCCCAATTCTGATTCCATTGCGAGAACTGGTGTATGTGAGGGAATGATTTTTGTATTTTCAATTCTTTGGGTCACCCTTTTGATTGATGGTATAATGCTGTCTCTCATAATATTTTAAATCTTCAGCCAAAATATTCCTTCATAGATTTACTTAGAATACAATTCAATATGTTCAGGCTATTAACAGCATTTCTAGAAATTTTGGCGAAAATTACATTCCTGAATAATTTATCTTCAGAGCTTAAAAGTCCTTTTCACATTTCCAGAAATTCTGCTCTGGAATAAATGTTCAGTTTTTGGCTGAGTTTGATTTGTGGACGAGTGATATAATATTAGCTCAGTATTAGCATAATTAAATCTGACTATTTTATCGCAGTCAGCAAGTTGTACAACTACAAGAAGATTTTTCAAACCAAAACTAGTATGGCTATATCTGGCTATAACTTTTACCAGAAAAATTACATTTTCAAAATTACTGTTGGTATTGTCTTAGCAATATTTAGGGACTCAGTCTTAAAAATTACATCTTCAAGAAATACTGTTGTACCCTAATGTGAAATTATTTTGGAGTTATCTGTTAGATAAGCCAAGTGATGTGGTATAATACAATACTTGGGCAGTTTTATTTCCCAGTTTAGTTGAATTTCAGCATATAAATGTATCTATAAACAGATCATGAGTCTAATTTCAAACACCCATAAAATAAAATCACTTATAAGAAATGACACTGGTGCCGTAGGTGATGTTGAATCAGTAAGTCAGTGTTGCATGCAATCCGTAGTTTATTGATACACATTGTGCACTTTGCTGAAAATTAAGTATGTCCCTTTTAGTGAGCATGGCTTCAGGTAGTTTGTCATAATGCTACTGTCCAAATGTTTGTGTTTCCCTTGGGTTAAGTGTAGTCATGTCAGAAAGTAACTGAAAATCTGAAATAAATGTTACTAACAGCCAGCAGCTCATTTAGCATCAGAATAAAGGTTTTATTATATTAGACAGGATTTATCTGTCATCTGACCAAGTTGGTGTTTTATAAAATGTAACTTTTTTGCCTCTTTTATTCCACCTTGACATGAGTGTTTAGCTGTAATAACTAGCAGGTCCATCCTTGTGCTTACTATAAGCTTTGTGAAATATTTGGCCACATTTGTATCTAACAAGTGGGCTAAAAGCAACTTGACCCTTTATTAGCAACTTAAACATTATTTCAAAGTCCTGACAATGTTGGCAGATCAAAGGATTCTCTGTTAATTCTGCTACCAGTTCTACTTCTGCCTTTATTTCAAACCCAAAAAATGGTGTATATGTAGCAACAGTGCAGACCTGTCACCGATATTATGTTCTGTTCGTCTAAATACAGAACTCCTTGGGAAGTACTTCAGTCATAATTTTTGAGCATAGATTTGAACTTCTCTGTTACTTTGAAAGCATTTCTGATTTATTTTGTATTGAAGTTTCTAAGATCACTCTCCAAGCAGGATGGGGGAGGTAGAAACATCAGCCAGCTAACGGAGATGTTCTGTGATCATTTTTGTTAAATGCTTGCACAATTTAAAATTGTAGTCATCCATATATGGTATATGTTGAGCAGCCAGCTTGATCATCAACTGTATTTGCAATTTTAGATTTTTAATGTAGGTTCCTTAATCAGTAAAGCAAAGCACAATTAGTGCAATAACCCAATAAGCCAAAGTTTATGAAACAATCAAATTGAAATATTTTGGACCAGCTCATTAGTTAGGAATTGCATTCACAATCCTTTTAAGCAATGGCCACACAGCATAGCAGCATAATTTTTCAAAAAACTTTACCAGTGAATTCAATTCCACTTGCTCTGTCACAAGACATGTGCAAGGTAATCGTACGTTTCTGTACTGAGGCAAGTTTACAATTTGGTTTTCTAAAGCTGAAATAACTCATCCAATGGAAAAGGCTTTCAAGTGGTTATAATGTTGTTAAATGGGGTGTTTAATCCCATGTCATTAAGAATAAGCAATGCGCACATCTGGTTAACTCTTGTATGTGAGAAATATTTTAAATTACAGCAAGGAATTAGATTTACAGTGTATTGATGCAAGAAAGCTGCTAAGGATGTATTGATGGGTTTGCAAAATTTTATTTTAAATGTTTGGCTAATACAGTTCCGAAAAGATTTAAATAGCTAATGCTGGTTTACAAAATGGTAACACCCGCACTGTCACTTTTGCCTTATAGGGGAGTATAAAGAATGGCCTACCTCCGCAGACAGTAGCTTGTGTATTCTATGTTAGAAACGCATTGAGACGTTGACGTGGGAGATGCATTCTGTTGTGGAATGAGATCTAATTTCAGGATCCCTGTTTTATTACATAGTGGGCAGCATTGACATTGCAGCTCCAAGCGCTCGTGTAATGGTTGCAGTCTTCTGTCCCTTACCCCAGGTGGGAAAGCGGCGAGGTGGGGCAAAGCTAGCCCTCAAGACGGGAATGGTAGCCAAGAAACACAAGACCGAAGAAGAGGTAAGATTCAGTAGCCTTTTGACTATAATCCTCTCTGCAGTCTATCCTGAATTGTCTAAACTTCTGTATATGTACTGCTGTTATCCATAAAGATTTGAATGTATTCACTTCACTTGGAGCCAGCCAGTCTTCTCATTGGGATTATCACTTAAAAGGAGACATTCCCTCTCTGCACCCTCTGATACTACCCTTTAGGTAAATTTTATGGTCATTGGGCTCTCCACAACCTTGTCCGGACCAAATCAAACATTTTCACTTTATAGAGTTGTACAGTTCAGTGAGAGTATTTGCCTGTACTGGGTTTTTGTTAGAGCTATCCAACTAGACTCAGCACTTTTCTGTTTCTCCTTAGCAAATTTTTCCCCTTAACTAGTTAACTAATTCCTTTTCAAAAGTTAATTGAATCTGCTTCCACCAGCTTTTCAAGTAGTGTATTGTAAATCATAGCTATTCACTTTTTTCAAAGAAAGTTCTCACGTCACCACTGTGCTTTTGCTAATGTCAAATATTTTTCTTCTGCTTACTGACTCTTCCAGTGGAAACAGTTTCTCCTTATTTACTGTATCAAAACTTATAATTTTGAGCATGTGTACTGTCCTCTTATCTTCTCAATTCTAAGAACAACCCCAATTTCTGCCCTCTGTGCATATAACTGAAGCCCCTCAGCCTTGTTTGTTTTCTGTCAATTCCCTGCTGAGTTTTCCAATCTCAGTCAAAGATTATTGCAGTTAATATGGGCACCTCTGGATGTGGACAGATCAACTATTGATGTTCTACTATTAAATCCCTTTGGATATTCCAAAGGTAAGATCAAAAAATGCCACCTTGGATGTGATATCCGAAATAACTCCACAGACACCGGTATCCCGTCACCAAATCACCCTTTATTTACATGTGCATAGTATTTGACACTGGTCTGGCTTCCTCCAAGCCAGCTCTGAGTAAGCAGAACCTCTGACACTTCTGTTCATGTCTGTCAGCCTGATTGGGGCTGTTAATCTGGTCCAATAGGGAACTCATTCTCTGAGGTCTACCTAGCTGACCTCTTTGCAATCACTAGATTCTTCCTAACGCAAGTCGGGGGAGGGGCATTTTCTTATAGCCTCGTCTGGGGCGTTGTCGCACCCAATCTAGTTCCTTCAACTCAGCCTGAGATATTGTGTACTGGAACTAATCCACCTCATGCGCCCAGAGCGTCTCGGGAGAAATTCACCCTGTTCAGATGGTGAAGGTGTCGAGGCTGTGACATCCATTCTGTCCGTCTCAGAACTTGAGGTTTCTTTGCTAGACAGAGAAAGAGAACCCACGAGTTCAGACATTGTCCGCATGCTTGTTCAGGACTGCCTCACCTACCCGAATTCTGCATGTCCGAGGACCTCACCTCGCACGACCGTGCCCTTTACCCATGCAGAGCGATTTCCGTGGTTTCAGCACAAAACTTCGTCCTTTGAAGTAAACTGTCTGTCTCACTTAGAGGACTCTTGTGTCCAGCATTGGCTGGACTGTGATGGAGCTATCCCTGTAGTTGCATGAGGGGTAGTCCACTGATCAAATAGGAACCTGGACAGTTTAGTATCAAGTGAAGCTGTAGGCTGATTCTTTAAGCCTGCCTTCAAAATTTTGGCTGCTGTTTCTGCGTGCTCAAAATAGTCAAATTCCCTGCTTGTAAAGGATGGCCTGTTGTCTGTCACCAGCACTCTCTGGAGCCCATATGTTGCAAAAGATGCTCACTGTTTTTCTATTGTCATCTCCATGTTTGACGAATGAACTTCAGGCACGTTCTATCACTTTGAGTGTGTGTCCATAATGATTAAGAACGTTGATCCCATGAAAGGACCTGTATGGTTGACGTGTAACCGAGTCCAGGATTTACCCGGCCATTCCCAGGAGTGTGGGGGAGCTGCTGACGGTAATTTTTGTCCTTGTTTGCACTCTGGGCACTGCCCCACCAATGCAGCTATGTCTGCATCCGATCCTGGCCACCAGGGAATAACGTGTCACGAACATATTCATTTTGGACACCCATGATGACCCTGGGGGAGTTTAGCCAGTATCTGGCGGCAACCTCTCCTAAGGACAATCACTCATGCTTCCTGTAATAAACTGCTGACCTCTATGGTCATCTGGTCTAGCCAGGTCCAGAACGTTCTGGTCGTGATGGCGCTTTTGTTTCCCCATCACCACCAGCTGTTTTAGTTTTGCAAGGACCAGATCTTTTTGCGCCCACAGTCTGATGTCAGCGGTGACCGGAAAGGTGTCCAGAAAGTTTAAAACCAGCATTGACTCTTCCAGTGGAGGCACCACTGAGGTGTATCTGCTAGCGGGAGCTGGGATTAAGCATCCGCATTTGCTGTCTGGCCTCCTGGACGGTGTTCCAACTTGTAGTCGGACACACTTAGAATGAGAGCCCACTGCTGAAAATAACCTGAAGCTATGGGCAGCAGAGCCTTGTCCTATTTGAGTAGCCCTAGCAGGGGTTTGTGGTCTGTTATTATTACAAATTTACCCGTCTAGGTATTGGTGGAACTTCCTCACATCAAAGATGACCCTCAAATTTTCCTTCTCTATCTGGGCATATTTGTACTCTGCATCAGCCAAAGTCCCAGAAAGCATGTGCTATTGGGTGTTTCTCTCCATTGGGCCATCTGTGAGCCAGCACTACCCCAGTATTGTACAGGGAGGCATCGCATGTCAGCAGCAGATCTCACTTGGGATCATAGCTGCTTCACTTCCCTGTTGCGAGTTGGTGCTTTCAAGAAAGCAGGGAAGACAAAATAAGTACAACTCGGCTTATTAAGTAGCCAGTGAATACCATCTGGCAATGTAACTGGTTTGAATCCAGAGCTTTTGTCAGTAATAATGAAAGTTCAATCCTGTAGTTACCTCAATGCAATTTGATGTTTCCACATTGTGTTAAATGCCCAATTCAAGTTAGCTATCTTTTCTCCATTTTATTTTCAGGCTGAAGCACGAGGCGGAGATGCGTGGGCCAAATACATGGCAGAAGTGAAGAAATACAAAGCACATCAGTGCAGCGATGATGACAAAACCCGGCCTCTTGTTAAATAGCCAGATTTTCAAGCTCATGCAGCCAAGAACTGTATTATATTTTACAACCGTTAAGATCAAGTCCTCCACTCAATGCCCTCACTGTACAGCCAATATGAGATTTTTTTCTTTTGACTGCCTGGAATATGTATTTATTTGGATTTGTGGTTTGAAAACAACACTTGCAAACAAAAATCCAACACAATGTTTAATTTTCAACATTGAAATCCTGTCCGCTTTCAAAGTGTGATTGGTAGTGTACAGTTTCCATATAGTTATGTCTCTCACCCTGTTTCAATATAGAACATAGTTTCCAGACACTTTTAATCTTTTATTTTTTATAAAATGCACGATAAAGCTCCAGTTGTCAGTAAAAAAAAATCCATGCATATTTACTCATGTGCCTGCAGTTATTAATTGCAAAACTGTAGCAAGTTTTTGAAACTTGTACACAATATTGTACATCTTACTGGCCTCTGTTGCCAAGCCAGCTGAAAATGTGGGGCTGATTTGATCAATGACTGGTCAGACACCTCCCCACATCTGTGTTGGAAGGAGCCCATTGCCTGACTGGTGCTGGTGAGGCATTTACATTTTTAATCAGAATTATTACATTACTAGCATCAAGCTGAACTGTAAGTGGCAGTATTAGGACTTGTTTCTCATGATCTGTTGGCTACAGCATTTGCACTGCTGAAGACCAGTGCTTTCCTGTGTTTCTTCCTGAGAATTAGTCTATCCAGAGGACATAAGTTGTAATTGTGACCACTGCTGTGCCTGAAGTGAGCATTTGGATGGGACAGCCAATGTGTGGGACTCCCCCGAAAGAACGTAAAGTTGGAGCGTAAACAGTCAGCTAAAGTGAGCACAGAAAATGGGATGGGATGAAGAAATGTTTCTCAAGTTCACAAAACTACCTCAGAAGTATCGGTGAAACATTATTATAAAGCTCTCGTTGCAATCTACTCAGCTGAGTTTTCACTTTGTTCGTACTGTTTATCTTTCAGCAGTGCTAGTGAGATGTTGCTTCTTGTCTGTTGTTTGAATTTCCCGTTTCTATTCATGAGCAGTGAAGAGAGCATTTCTTCCTCCATTAAGGAGGTTGGATTGCAAAAACCAGAAAATTTGATAAAGTAGAACCTGTGGGCCACAGTGGTTGCTGCCTCCTGACAATAGCAGGAGCAGGATGTGAAGGGAGCAGAATTAGAAGCTCAATGCTGCCCGCATCTTACCAGGTACAAAAAGGTCTGCTATATGGTCCCTGTCTTTAGAGTAATGCAGATCTCTGACTTGGGCTGTGGAGATCTGTGCTGGATTGCCATAGGACTGTTACTGCAAACTTCTGATTTTTATAGGACTTATCTGTAATATCAATGATACTTCTAGATATGGAATGAGATGAAAGTTAAATGGAGCAAAAAGTAGATGAGGTGAAGTAGATCTAGAATCATAGAATATTTGATAACATTGCCTTTAACAAATTAGTAATTTGATATTTAAGTTTCCCTTTAAATTATGCCTCTTGCTTCTCGGTCTTTCTGGATGTGCCTTTTGTTATTTCCAGATTTTCACCACCTTTTATGGCCAATTGTTAAAGAATGAAAGAGATTCCCAGGCACATTGTAACCCATCTTGATATTTTCCTGCTCTTAGGCTCATCTTGTCTTATTGGAATGGTTTGTATTATGGAGCGGGGGTGACAGTGACTGACGTGGAGATTGAGCTGTCATTCATATTTTCTGTGCAATGTACTGCTAGTTTAAATATCTGACATTAGAAGCAAAAGTTCCTTGATGACTTGGATGGGGAGTCAGCTGCCTGAGCCAGAAAGTTTACTTGAACTTTGCTGTGTTAGCTTCTTTCAGGTGTATTGGTGAGTATGTGGAGCTGGGAAGTCAAAACGTTCATCTGGGTGGGGGGTTCCTGCACCTGATCGCTGTCTTAGCTGTCTGCAGTGAAAGAGTTGGGTATTTGCCAAGAACGTTGGCAATACTTTTCATCGTCAAGTAGCCAGAATTGCTATGTATGCTTACATGAAACATGGATGATACATTGGAGCCTTGCTAGTGTTTATAGAAAGTGCCACTTTCTGGAGGTAGGTCAAACAAATAAACACTAGCACTTTTGTTTGAAGGATTTTGAAATTTTTGTTTTTCAGACTTACTTGAACTATAGGGACCAAGATGCACTTACTATCAAATTAAACCATAGTTATTCACCCTGTAAATAGTGCAGCAATGAAGAGCTGAGCCATATCAGCAATCCTATGGCTTTGCTGAGTTAGTTCATCCTGGCCCGGATAGAGTTGCCTTCAGCTCTTCCTGAGTTGCAGAAAATGAAATCTGGTGTAGTTCCCACTTCTGTTACATGTGTGGAGGTTGCGATTTAACTGATGCTCTGCTAGTTGAATGGCCTGCTACTGCTATCAGGCTGATTTTTGTGAATAGTAATTTGGGTTAATCACCACAGAATGCCAAACCCAGTGGAATCGTAACCAGTCTTGAGCCTCAGCCGTAACTTGGTGAGGCACTTTCACTGCTGAGTTAGGGTGTAGGTCAAAGCCTCACTCCGCAGATTTGAGTGAACAGAACTGTATAAAGTTACTTGACAGTTTCGATTGAGAAATTGCTGCACTGTCAGAGATGCTGTCTTTTGGATGAGATTAAACCAAGGCCCTGTTGTCTAGCGTGACCATTTTTTGAAAAGAAGGGCAAAGGAGCTCTGATGTTTTAACTAACTTTCACCTAAACCAGTGAAGATACTGATTATTTGGTCATTTATCTTGCTTAGAGGGACCTTGCAGTTTGCAAATTGGCTGCGAATTAATTTAGAACAAACTGAGCTCAAAATCCATATGTAAACTTGTGCGGGAGAAGAAAAATAGTTCTTTTAAAATCAATTTTTGGGCAAGGGGATTGAATCTTAACTTCCTAATTATGTATAAAGATCTGTGATTAATAGAATCAATAAGGAGTTCTGGAAGTTCGTTTGGAATTAACTAGTCATGGGTTACTCAATTGAATAATATTGGTCATGCCAGACATTGAGGATGGCAAGTTTTCCATAGCTCCATATGTGAAGGGTGTTTCAGTACAGTAGAACTGAGAACCAATTCTCAATCTCTACACTTCTAAATGTGAGACTTCTTAGCTTTGGTGAGTAACAGACATAAAATATGTCATGGAAACATCAGCCATGAAATAAGTACAAACCTTCTTTTATCCAGAATCAGTGCAATTTTACCCAGGTGAAATCTAAGCAAGCCAGTGCTTGTGAAGACTTCACCATGCAATTCATACTCCATGATCTAAACTGATGACTAATTTGGATTTTGTTATAACTTGGGATTTCATTTGGTAGCAATATTCCAGTGATAGATAAAGGTCAGTTTTCACTTTCTTGAAAAGCATAGGTATAAATGTGGTTCTTTTCTCCTGCACCCTCACCCCCATAAAATACTTTTGAACCTTCTCCCATTGCTGACCAGTTTCTAGAATGTAATGCAGCAACTTAGCTCAATATCACTGGCAACTTTTCAATTCACTATGTATGGCCATAAAATGTCTTTGGCAGTTTTTTGTTTTTGGTTTGGGGCGGTGGGAATGCTAGAGGTGGGGTGGAGAAAGAGCATATTCTAAGCCACTAATTTGGTTTGACCAGAAGGTAAAAGAAAACCGCAGTACCCAGCTCATTAGTTTGACTATTGATTTTTTTTTTCTTTAAACTGATGTTTAAGCATTTGCTTTCTAAAATCAAATACTAGCCTATGATATATAAAGCAAGTTAACGGCGGATGTGTCTGATAACCATTGGTGTACATGTCTAATATTTAATGTATTGCTGACACTTCAGTGCCATGCTGTGTTTTGCATGCAAAGTAGCCTTTCAAAATAAAAAGAAAAGCCAGTCTCCTCACACTGGATTCTTCTGCCTGAAAATCTGAATTCACAAGCATCTTCCAATTTGCAATGTCCCCTCACCAATGTACAAACTTTGACTCCTAGATATTTGCTTAACCATGAATTGTCACTTTGAACCTGTAGCCTATGTTATTTGACCCTGGTACACTTCTGCATTTAACATTAATTCATTTTGGATCAGATAAACTGATTAGTGCTGATATTTCTCGTAGTTTTTGTATAAAGCAATGTCTTTTGTGTGGCAGAGTGGATAAGGAAATGGTGGAAGAATTAACTTCTTTCTTCCCAACCAAATGTGGTAAATTGAACACGGTAGCTGATTGTTCTCCACTGATTCTTGCTCGTTAGTTAAAGTTTGGCAAGTCTTTAGATGTTAAGCAAAACAGTTACCAACTGAGGGCAGTTTTTTTAAGAAGGAGCTATTCACTTTAGTATCAGATGCTGTCAATACAGCTCCAATTTCCAGCAAGAATTTGCTGGGCTGGGTATTATCAATGGAATTTCCTGCTGGGTAGACTAGAGTTGAAATACTGTAAAGCTGGAAACTAGCACTGTTGGGAGATCTATATTCTGTACTGCACGTTTGAAAAGCCCAACAGCACTGGATGAGTTAAGTCACATTTAGCCCCTGTTCCAGTGCTTGCTTTTTTCTGCTGTGACCCTATTTTGAGGTTTAAAAGTTTTCACCACTTCTGATGGTGAGGGTCTACAAGAGCGGGAGCACGGCTGTGCTAATTACATCAGATCTGTATGGAGCCATTGTTGCCTCAGAGTTTGAGAAGCTAAAATTTCAGCTGTGCCCTATGTGGGTCTGTCTCCCTGCCTTTATTTGGGGGCAGGGGAGGATCTGCCTTTATACCCTTTTTTTTAATGTTGACCTTTTTGACAATCCAGAATCCAGCCAACTTGGTCTCCACTGTTGTGTAAGGAAGGTAATTGCACAGATCAAAGACATAGAGAAGAAAACAACCATCTGATATATTTACCATTCACTGTTTGTTCTTCAAGTGACGGGAGTCAGATCCAGCAATGGTACAGCTCAGCAGTTCATATTAACTAATCACTTTTGTTGAACTACTCTGTATTCCTACAGTGATTGAAAAAAAAAACATCTGTAACTGTGCAGTAGTCAAAAACTGAATGGAAGGCAATAACTCGACCACATTGAGGTTAACGAACTTAAACTGCTTATATCTACCTGCCACCGTTACATTGTACAGTCCACAGCCGCTATTTAATCATTCTTCAGGTACTGAACATAAATCAAGTTTCTTTTTGCTGATCACTGAATAAAGTATTGTAAAGAGCTTTCGAGTGTTACTTTGATCACGTTTCAATGCGTCTGGATCCTACATCAGAGCAAGACTCCGCTTGATAGTTTTGTACAAAAGCAGAAGTCACACGACACCAAGTTGTAGTCATGCAGGTTTATTTGAAATCACAAGCTTTCGAAGCGTTGCTCCTTTGTCAGGTGACGTGCTTCTGACTTTGTTCACCTCCAAATGATGAGTTACTTGCCTGCAATACTGACTCGATGTAGTTAGGGACGCAGGGTATCAAAATCAAGACTGGAATAATCCTCAACCATAAGATGACGATAACTAGCAGTATGTATCGTTATTTTAAGGATTTTTCGTTGTTAACCATTGAATTCTCAGTACAGACTGAGAAACTTGGAACATCTATTAAGGTCCCAAAATAGATAGTAAAGCACGAGGTATCCCTGAGATAAACCAGTTGTCACTTGTTTTCTTCCATTTACATACAGAAATTGTGAACTTTTTGCCTCCAGTAATGTCTCATTAATTAACCCCCCTGCTTCTGTGTTATCAGAGAACTAGTTTCATGTACTTAATCCAACCCACTAATATCATTCCAGCAGCGAGAGGAAAGAGACACAGAATTAAATGTTGATATTACTTTGAACCTTTTTTAGAATAACGGGTGCCAGTAGAATATATATGAAAAAAAACTTAAGCTAATTCACAGTTTACAAAAGTGATGGTGAGAGTAGTGGGGGCAAGCAATTATAGTTTAGTTACACTGAGCTCTGCTGGCTTTGGTGTCAACTGATTAAGGTGGCATTCTGGAACAGATAATCGTATGCTGAATAATTAAGAAGCAAAACAAATTGCAGGAAATTTTAGCAGGTGTGATATTGTTGTTGATGTTGGTCCAGTGACCCATTTTCAGAACTGATTGTAGCTAGGGAAAGGTAATTTAGATGTTTTAGATCTAAAGAGAAACAAGCCACACCAATGCAATGTTAATGGTCGACTCTTTGAGCCATGATTCTGATGATATCCTGAAGATGGTTTGGGGAAGGAGTAAACGGTAGGTGGAGATGGAGCCCTCGGACAGAGAACAGCGATGGGGCAGACAAAGTAATGGGTAATGGTGAGCCTGGGAGAATCAATAGCTGCTGTGTAGGGTTTGGGGCAAGGACATAGGAGAAGGTGCTCAAGCCCCAAAATTGTTGAACTAGATATTGAATCCTGAAGGCCAAGCAATTTCTGTTTTTTCGTCTGATTTCTAACTTTGGCAGCTCTTTGGTTTTCTGAATAATTAAGAACAGTGCAAATCTCGCCAAAATTATACAGTTGTTGGGCGGCACGGTGGCACAGTGGTTAGCACTGCTGCCTCACAGCGCCAGGTACCCGGGTTTGATTCCAGCCTCGGGCGACTGTCTGTGTGGAGTTTGCACATTCTCCCCGTGTCTGCGTGGGTTTCCTCCGGGTGCTCCGGTTTCCTCCCACAGACCAAAGATGTGCAGGTTAGGTGCATTGGCCGTGCTAAATTGCCCGTAGTGTTCAGGGAGGTGTAGATTAGATGGGTTATAGGGGGATGGGTCTGGGTGGGATGCTCTGAGGTTCGGTGTGGACTTGTTGGGCTGTTGGGCCGACGGGCCTGTTTCCACATTGTAGGGATTCTCTGATAGTTCTGGGGCCAGTTTATTATAATTACTTTAGAAGTAAAATGCTGGAGATCTCAACAAATCTAAAAGCTTGAGATGGATATGACTTCTTCATCACCATGATTACAGATTGTTCCAGAGTGCAAGGCAGTACAAGATGGAAATGGAAAGTTGCAAAGAAATTTTAAAGGTGTCTGGCTAGTAAATGGGCATTGGCAATGGAGGCTGCAAAAGTTCTCATGGTCTGCTTGAAGAATATGTTATCATCGTGGTTATGTTACTAGACTGGTATCCAGAGGTCTGGATTAATGAATTGGAAATGTGTTTAAATTCCAATTACAGCAGCCAGGGAATTTACATTCTATTAATTAAATTTGGAATAAAAGGTACTGTCACTGTAACCATAAAACTACTAAATTCTCATTAAAACCTCATCTCATTAATTACGGAAGGAAGAGTTGTCTCCGGTTCATTTAACTTGACCTCTGGATTGCTAAATGACTACTGTATTACCTTTCACTGTGCACAAATTTCCTGTACTGAGTTGCCTGTATTTCTGCCTGCCAAGCCAAGGAGACCAGAACAGCTCGAGCATAGTCTGATCTGTTTTGTTCCTGCTGTACTTAGAATCCCTACAGTGTGGATTGATAATATTTTTCTTCATCCAGAAAATGAGGCCTACCCCCATTGGCGGTACTAATCCTGATGGTAAAAGGACATGTCATAAAGAGAAACAAGCCACACCAATGCAATGTTAATGGTTGACTCTTCGAGCCATGATTCTGATTAACTTGCACTGTTCCAAAGCCTCATTTTTGAGATCGAACATTCAGCACTTACTGCAGTATCCCAGATGAGTTCAATAAGGCCTTATCTAGAAGTCACTGTTTAAAATAAAGTATTCCCTATTTAAGGCAGAGATGAGGAGACTTTCCTCACAAAGGATAGTGAGTCTGGAACATTCTTCCTAAAAGGGTGGTGGAAATTAAGAGGCATTGAATATCTTTAAGGCAGAGGTAGATGGATTATCGATCAGCAATTGTGTGTAAACTTATCAAGGGGAGGCAGAAATGTGAAGTAATCAGATCAGACATAATCTCACTGAATGATACAGCAGGCTCAAGGGACATGTAGCTTCATCCTATTTTGTACATACAACTGAAGCATCATTTCCTCACTTGAATTCTAACTCTCAACATTTTTTAAAAATTCACTCCAGGTTCATTCAATGGCAGATGGACTTAATTTAGATAAATGTGAGGTGCTGCATTTTGGAAAGGCAAATCAGGGCAGGACTTATACACTTAATGGTAAGGTCCTGGGGAGTGTTGCTGAACAGAGAGACCTGGGAGTGCAGGTTCATAGTTCCTTGAAAGTAGAGTCACAGGTAGATAAGATTGTGAAGAAGGCATTGGGCATGCTTGTCTTTATTGGTCAGTGCATCGGTATGGGATTTGGGAGGTCATGCTGAGGCTGTACACAACATTGGTTTGGCCACTTTTGGAGTATTGCATGCAATTATGGTCTCCCCCTATAGGAAGGATGTTGTGAAACAAGGAAGGGTTCAGAAAAGATTTACAAGGATATTGCTGCGGTTGGAGAATTGAGCTATAGGGAGAGACTGAATAGACTGGGGCTATTTTCCTGGAGGGTCAGAGGCTGAGGGGTGACATTATAGAGGTTTATAATATCAGGAGGGGCATGGATAGGGTAAAGAGGAAAGGTCTTTTCCCCAGGGTGGGGAGGGAGTCCAAAATTAGAGGGCATAGGTCTTAGGTGAGAGGGGAAAGATATAAAAGGGACCTAAGGGGCAACTTTTTCATGCAGATGGTGGTGTAAGTATGGAATAAGCTGCCCAGAAGTAGTGGTGGACGCTGGTACAATTACAACATTTAAAAGGCATCTGGATGGGTATATGAATAAGAAGGGTTTAGAGGGATATGGGCCAAATGGGACTCAATTATATATCTGGTAAACATTGACAAGTTGGAACAAAGGGTTGGTTTCCATGCTGTTTCTCTCTATGACTGTATGTGGGCATTGCTGGCTGGCTTACATTTATTGGCCATCCCTATTTGCCCTC